CGAGCCAAGGCAGTGATGGTGGGAAGAGCAACGGGCATATCTGAGAGCCAGCTGGGAGGGAGGGACCCCAGTGATGGACGGCTGCAGGTGGAGCCAGGCCTGGGCTCCCTCTAGGTTTAGACAGTGGTGGTGTGCATTTTGGCTTAGTGGAGGTGACCACACTCTTTGGGATGGAGAACACAGGAGGAGAAGGGGTTTGGGGGGTGTGGTGGGGTACTTTTGCAGGTGTGAGATGTGGATGCCTGTAGGACAGCTAAGGGGCAAGTCCCAGTGAGGGGGACATGTCAGTCTGTAGCTCCGAGAAATCTGGGCTGGTAGAGACCAAAGCACAGAGATGACACCTGAACTCCTGGAAATGGATAAGACAGTCCAGGGAAAGAGGGCAGAATGGTAAGAGAAGGTAGCCTGGGGCAGAGCCTGGAGGCACACAGCATGTAAGGGACAGGAGGGAAGAGGAGCCGGAGAAGGAGCAGCTGTCACGTCAGACACCCAGAGTGGGGCCCAGAGCTGAAGAAAGAGTGTCTCAAGGAGGGTGAGATCACCAGGCCTTAGATGCTCTATAAGGTCAGGCCTAAAAAGGTTTGGTCTTAGTGACATAAAAGCCACTAGTGGCTTGGACATAAGCTGTTGGTTTTTGCTGGTGAGGTGTATTTAGTAGCATTGTTCGCCTGTGGCCAGATTAAAACGCGTGTCCAAGTGGGTCAAGAAGAGCCTCTCCCTGCTGTCCAGTCTCAGCAGTGTGGTAAGGTGAATTCAAGTGACCCCAGTCTGGAAGGCCGCAGTCTCACTCCTGGTAAGGGAAGCTGATATGTTCCCATCTACAGTAGGCACCGCTCTTTCAAGTGCTCAGGACCGTCACTCCACCCCCAACTAAAGATGACTATGAGCTAGAAATTTAGGACGAATTGTTGGGTCTTAAAGACTTACAATTAAATAGAACTAGAGTCAGTAGCTTAGTGGTTGTTCTATAATCAGGCCCTGCTCCAAGTGGTGAAGGAAATTCGCAGTGGGGATCAAAAAGCCTGCCCCGACAGGATGTAGCTGTGAGCGGGGCTGGGGACGGTCCCTGACGGGACTTCTGGATCCATAGCCAAGAATGTGGCTTCTGTTGAATCATAAGAGGTAGAGAGGGATTTTGAGTTGTGGTTCACTGAGACAAAAAATTGGGTTGTATGAACTTATATTGGAGTTATGGTGACCGTGGAGGTAGGGGGGTAATAAAAGGAGCAAAGACTCCGACTCCGACTCTGACCCAGTTTTGAATCCAGGGTTTATTACTTACTAGCCAGGTAACCTTGGACATGTCACTTGGAACCTCTCTGAACCTCAAATGGTTCATCCATGAAATATGGTTTACAGGACTATTGTCAAAATTAGATTAATGTATGTGGAGCCCCTGACACAGAGGAGACGTTAAATGGTAACTGCTGCTGTTTTTACCGTTTTTGTGGTCACTGTTGACACGGCATTCATGTAGTGGTTCTAGATCACAAAACACTTCCCCACCTTGCTCACTGAAGTGAAAACAGATTTCGGCTCAACTCACTCACATACAGTAAGGTTTTTGTAACCTTCCTCTGTCATAACACTAGTAATATGATACTGTCACCTCATTGGTCAATCTGCTGACCCCTTTAGACTGTGAGCCCCTTAAAGCAGAGAGATTGCCTCCCATGGATGCCCAGTGCTGGGATAAACTAGAGGCTCCATTTCCATGTATCCTAAATCCATGTAAGGAAGCACCTTCTCACAACCAGAGCTCTTCGAAGTAGAGCAAGTGGCCTCAAGATGTGAGCTCCTGCCCTTGAGGATATCCCAGGGGCCATATTGGCAGAGACACTGTTGGCAAGTAGCTGAATTGGCTGGAAGACCAGATTTAAAAGAGAGGGTTTTTAAGCTCCTGCTTTAGGTTCTATTAGTGTTTTAATTGGATGAAGCAGTTCTGCTGTCCTGTCAAGTTCGTTCAAAGGAGCATTGTGTTCACGTAGGTTTGTGGGCCCTGTGCACAGTAAGCCGGCCGTGGTCAGCCTCTTCCTCCCTCTGCCTCCACAGCTCTTCAAAACTTGCAAGCCTCACCGTAGGCCCACTGGGTGAAAACTTTTATGTTAAAAGAAATTGTAAACAACACTTTTTATAAGAAATACAGTGCTTTTTAAAACATCAAATTGGTCTTAAATGTTTTGGCGGCATATGCCACATAACCTTTTGGATTTATGTCTTCACTTTCATAGGGTAAAACTTCAGTGCCACTACCTCAAGAGTTCTGCAAGTTCACATTATGTAAATATATGTAATAAAATATTTACTTAGGGTTTCCATAAAAAAGGTCCAAAAGAGAGAATAAGAGAGCTTCTCTTTGCTGGTTTGAGAGGCTCTGCTGGGAATTCTGAGTGAAATTTAAGCCTCCGAAATATGTTTTGATTGGCCTCCTACATGTTTTATCTTCTGTAATGAACTCTTTGTCAGTTTGTCAATTTTAACTAAGGACAGAAAGTTCATGTGTAGTAACAGCACATAGACTGAGTGTAAAATTATGGCTTGTATCATGATGCAATAATCCTCTTTTCCTTTAGTCAATATTTACCTGTTAGGCCAATATATTATAATTCTGACTTCAAAAGAAGACACTTTATTTTACCTTCTCCACATGTTGGTTTTAGATACTTGTAATATCAAATTGGAAGTTGAGCCGTCTCAGAGTCTTGGCCAGTTTCTCTTGGGGTTGAGTTCCTCGATCATCACAGGGCAGGTCTCACTGCTCCCAGGGACCCCACAGAACAGCTGCATGGCTCTCAGAATGAGGCAGATGAACTTTGAGCCGGACTGCTTTCTCTCAGCTTTCCAGGCGGCCCTCTTCTCTGTGGGAAATGGGTGTATTATATATATTATCCCATAGCAACCAGGATCTCTTAGAAGGTCCCAGGTTTTCCCTAATGTACTAATGTTACAGCGCTGGGTGGGAAAATCACACGGAATGCCCTGTAGGAGGGTGGTCTCTGATGTGAGACAGGTGAAGAACGGGGCATCTTAAATTCTTTTCCTTCCCTTAACCCCTTATTTTTACCACCCCACATTTAAACAACTGTTCATTTTAAAAGCTGAGGGAAGTATCATTCCCAGTGAAGAAGAACTAGGAGGATAATAAATAGCTATAAAATTTGCAGATGAAATGTGTGATACCTTAGGTCTGATTATCTCCATATCCAGAGGAACAGAGCAGAAGCAGTGATGTGTTAGTAAGCTCTCCTGAGTCAACTTGGGCATCGGTCAGGGCTCTGTCAGTCAGTCATACCGGAAAGGGAATTGATTGGCTCATAAACTGCCAAGTCTGTAGGTTAGACTAGGTTCAAGGTTAGCTGGATCACAGTGTTCAAGTTAGGGCATCATGATTTTCCCATCATTTCTTAGACCTGTTATTTTCTATATTGGCATGATTGTGTGACAAAGATGCTTTCTTGGCAGCTGCAGTCCAGGAGAGATCCTCTTTCCTGAAATCTCTATCAATTCCTGAAAACAAGCTCAGAAAAATCTAGTTGGGTCATATGCCTATGAACAAAGATGGGGTATAATAGAATTACATCAAGCATATATTTAGATTTAGGCAAATTCACCCTGTACTTGTATCATCACTGTGCTTCCATCTGCCCGTGATGCTCTAACCCGTATACTTACTTTGCATATGTACATGTGTGCATTTGTGTGTGTGTAATCACATAGACTGTATTCTTGATAGATGACTGATGGCATGCTCAAGAGTATATCTTGACTTTATGACCTAATAGCCCCCCAGCCCCACTTTAGCCTGAGGCACCTGACTATCTCTCTGTAGAAATGGTAGGGAAGGCAGGGCCTGTTGAAAAACAGCTCCACCAGGAAGGGAAAAGGCAACTCTAAGATGGAAGAAAAGTAGGTCTTTGACCAGAAGGGAAGAGACAACAGGCAAACAAGCCGATATGGATTCATTCACTCAACAAATATTTACAGAGTGCTTCTACTAGGCTCTGAGCCTACATAGGTGAATTTCGCACAAGAGGCCCTGCCTGGCTGGAGCTTACACTGTAGGGGGAGAGGCAGACAGTAAACACACAAGCCAGTAAAGGTACCCTATGATATCTGGTAGTGATGAGAGCTCTGAAGAAAAGACCATGGTCAGCAACTTCAGTTATGGATTAGGTGATTCAACAGTGCAGGTGGAGAAACAGAAGGCAGAGTATCTGTGTCTTCTTTTTCTGGGATTTTCATCTAATTGACCCTTATTAGGTAAGAAGGATTCTGATAGGCAGATCCTGTTGAAGTTATCCTAAGTGTAAGAAAGAAAGTGAGCCAAGCAAGCATCTGAATGGGATGAGGTAAGATACATTCTGGGAGTGGAAAGAAGCTTCCCAGTGCAGCTACATACAGAGTACATGGAGGATGAGGCTGTAAGGCTGGTGAGCTAGATTGGGGAGAGCCCATGCCGGGCCATGAATAATAGGCTGGGAGGCATCACCATATCCGTGCATTCAGAAGATTCCTACAATGTGTGGAGGGCTAGGTAAGGGGGCAGAATCGAGGTGGGAAGGCCAGCTATGGGGCTGAATAAAGGCTGTGGCCAGAATGAACAGGGAGGGCAGAGCTTTCAGAGGCAGAATCTGCAGGACTGGGGGATTCACTCACTTCTAGTGACCTGAAAGTATTTATTGATCATCCAAAATGAGTCTTCTTTTGCGAGTCGACTGATACTTACTCATAGACAAGAAATCTTTAGAAATGGGAAACATCTTGTGAAAATGATTAATGTTGTTTGCTCAGGATTAGAATCTCATCGTCTGCTGGTGTACAGTGAGGAGAATAACACTAGTGTAAATCACAGGGGAGAGCAAGACCGGAAACAGTGGCCTGTGCCTCACATCCCGTGGCTCCGTGGCTCCTGAGAGTGACGTGCATTCTCAGGAAGGATTCCTGGGAAGGATCGCCCGCACCTTCCTACCAGGCTGATCCGCCTTCTAATACATTTACAGGCAACTTTGAAGTGGGAGTTCACATTGCCGACGTCAGTTACTTTATTCCCGAGGGGTCTGATTTGGATGAAGTGGCTGCTGAGAGAGCTACAAGCGTCTACCTGGTGCAGAAGGTAACATCACTCTCATTTAGTGCTCTTCCTTTCTTTTGTTTCTCTCTTCTTTAAGAAAAAAAATTCACAAGGAATAGCAATCTTGTCTGAACTGTTTCTCACATTTAATAAGGTCTTTAAAAAGATTTTCTTTGGGAAGTTTTTGCTTTTGTTATTGCACGTTTCCCTGTTTGGCCGTTCTGTGCTCAAGAAGAACGGAACTGAAGATGTCCTGAGGCAAGGCCCAGCTGCCCATCCCAGGCCCTCAGACTGGCCGTGCGCATGACTCGCAGTCCGCTTCTGAAAGGGTGCACAAGGGTGACCGCTTTCAAACTGTTGTTCCACAGCAGGACTCAGCAAACTCTGCTCACCCTCAACACCGTTTCAATAAAGTTTTATCGCAACACAGTCACACCCATTCACTTATGTAATGTCCACGGTACTGTCATGTTATAGCAGGAGAATGGTATGAAAATTTACCATCAGCCTTTTAAGAAAAAGTTTCAACCCCTGGTCTGAAGAGTGGGGGCCAATCTACTCCTAACCTGCCCTTTACAAAATTACCTAAAATCTCAGACATGGAAAAGCAAAGGGAGCCAAGGAAGACACCGGCCTTTTCCTTCTAGTCCTGATTCTGGCCCCTCCTGGTAAGTAACTGAGTCTACAGACCACCTTTAACAAGTATCCAGTGAGCAGCAATTATCTGCCAGGCAGTGGTGAAGACCACACATGAGCTATTTCTACCTCTTACTGTAGCTTGTAAGCTTCTAGGTGTCTTTCTCCTGCTTTTGACTCTCCATTCATCGGTTTATTTGGCTCATCTTACTTCCTAGACTGTATCATGACTTGTACATCCTGCCTAATGTCCTTAAACCCAGGGATCTGGGTTTGGACTGCTGCCTACACTAGTTTGAACCTTCCTGCCTCCCATGCCCTAGGACATGGCTTCTGGTATTTGTTCTTTGGCTGCACTAGGTTCAGAGGTATATCCCCACAAACCACCCACACATACCATGGCATTCTGGGAGCTGGGAACTGTTTACCTGGCCCCATCTCTCTGGGGCAAGAAATCAGCCCAGGTGCCAACCTGCTCCATTCTGGAAACTTCAAATGTCATCACCTAGGGAAAGGATCCAGCTGCCTCGTTTCCCTTCTCTGCCTAATCTGATTGGCAGCTCCCACTGCCAGCAGGCCTGAAGGAAAAGCTAGGCTCTGAGCACTGCCTCCAAAAGTAGCAAGGCCTCATAGGCCACTGTGCTTCGGGCTACTGCCTCTCTGACACCCGTGGGAATGAATCCACCCTGCTGCCTGCTCCAGATGCAACTTTAGTGAGCTAGGCGTCGGAGAAAACAACCAGCATAGGTACCCTGGAGAGGCCCGAGAAGGGTGCTTCCCCGAGCCCCTGACCTTTATGAGCCTCCAGGTCTTGGCACAGCATTGAGACGTGTCTACAGGATGGCATTTCCCTTCTCTTGGCTTTCACTGACCTCTGGTCATCAGCATTCCTTCCACGCAGGGGCTTGAGAGACTCATATTCCTGGTCATCTGAACTCCCGCTTCCTGCTGTTCCCCAGAATGGTTGGTTCTTTTGTGGACGTGGCTGTCTAGACTCTGGCAGGGCAGGCCGCTAGGGCCCCATGCACTGTGCACTCTGGAGACACCCCTAAGGGTTTCGTGAAGCCAATCCCATGCTCATATTCATGCCAGGGACCTGGCATGGTCATCCTGGCAATGCTAAAGAGAGAAGTGGGCCTTTCCAAGAGACCGTGTTTTCCTAGCTTTTTTTTCCTAGCTAGGGCTCTGAACATTGTCACTGACTACATCATGTCGGTTCTGCCTCCTGCATGGTCCTGTGGCACTACCACCATACCCACCATCTCCCCACCAATCCACTGCCCAGAATATACCATTATGTATCAGACTTGGAGACAGAGGAACTGTGCCCATATTCCACATGCATCATTGGCTTGGGGCTCAAGGCTTAGAAATCCACCCAGCAATCATAGTACACTGTCTTTTCAAGCCTGAAACGAAGGCTTTTTACAAATAGAGCATCAGTTTATGTCAGGAGTTTATTAGCCTCTCCCTCTCCTGTGGAGCCCACTTCTGCCAGGATTACTACAGCTTCAACACAGCTGACATTTAAAGTTCCCACCCTTCCCCACAGTCACAAGAACTTCTGTGGATGTGCTCTGAGGTACAGGATTAGGACAACTCCCACCTCAGCCATACCTGGCAGCATATGTGACATGTGGGAGATGGACTTCCAGATATACTTCTACCAGGTCTAAGAAGCTATAATGTCCGTTGACCCTTTAGTACCCCAGCCATCTGCTGGCAAAAAAAGCACAGAACTCTACTGAGCAGAAAGGTTGTCACACAATAGAATCAACGTTCATTTTCCCAACCCAATCTTGTACAGATCCAGCACTCCCCCCATCTTACACACATGATCCTGGACCACTTATAACAGCAGTCTTCATGCCAACTCCAAGAAGGGTATGTTGTAGAATCATGGACTTGACTCCAGTCCTAGCAAAGCGCCTACATGATTCACACAAATGTGTTGGCTTTTAGAGCAGAAGTCCTCCAGGACAATCCAAAAGTTCTTAGGGTTTCTGACATTTACCAAATGTTACTGAGAATTCCTCTCGTATTTCCAACTTGTCCACCTGAATAACTAACCTCTTAAAAGGAAACAGACAAAGGTGAACTCAAAATGATCATAGACCTAACTATAAAACCCTAGAAGATAACACTGGAGAAAATCTAGGTGCCCTTGGTTTGACAATGACTTTTTAGATACAATACCAAAGGCATGATCTATGAAAGAAAGAATTGATGAGCTGAATTTAATAAAAATTAAAAATCTTTGCTCTGCAAAAGACACTGTCAAGAGAATGAGAAGATAAGCCAAAGACAGGAAGAAATATTTGTAAAGACGTATCTGATAAAAGACTATTTGCCAACATATACAAAGAATCTTACAACTCAACAATAAAATGAGCAACCCAATTAAGAATGAGCCAAAGATGTCAATAGAAATTTAACCAAAGAAGATGTACAGATGGCAAATAGGCATGTGAAAAGATGTTCCACATTATATGTCATTAGGGAAATGCAAATTAAATAACAGTGTGATACCATTATACCCCTATTAGAATGGCCAAAATCCAGAACACTGACAACACTGAATGCTGATGAGGTTGTAGAGCAACAGGAACTCTCATGCAGTGCTGGTGGGAATGCGGAATGTACAGCCACTTTGGAAAACAATTCAGCAGTTTCTTATAAACAGAATATATTTTTACCTTATAATCCATTAGTCATACTCCTTGGTATCTACCCAAAGGAGTTGAAAACTATGACCACCAAAAAACTGCACACAGATGTTTATAGCAGGTTTATTCTTATTTGTGAAAATTTGGAAGCAACCAAGATGTCCTTCAGTAGATGAATGGGTAAACTGTGGTATAACCAGACAGCTATTATTTGACATTAAAAGGTAGTAAACTGTTAAGCCATGAAAAGACATGGAGGAACCCTAAATGCATATTACAAGTGAAAGAAGCCAGTCTTCAAAGCCAAGTCCTGTAAGATTCCAACTATATGGCATTCTAGAAAAGGTACAACTATCAAGAGAATAAAACGATCAGGGGTTAGTAGGGAGGGAGGGATGAATCAGTATGGCATACAGGATCTTCAGAGAGTGAAACGACTCTGTAGGATTACTGCAGTAGTAGGTACATATCATTATGCATTTTCCCAGGCCATAGAATGTACAGCACCAACAGTGAGCCCTAATGTAAACTGTGGGCTTGGGGCAATGATGTATCATTGCAGGTTCATCAGTTATAACAAATGAACTATTCTGGTGAGAATATTAATAATGGGAGAGGCTGTGTATGTGTGGACAGCCTCTGTGCCTTTCTCTTAATTTTGCTATGGATCTAAAACTGCTCTAAAAAATTGTCTTCATAAAAAAAAATTTTTTTTTCTTAAAGGGCAGGGGACAGGAAGGGATCCTTCTAGGCCTTGATTCTGGAAGCCATGTCTCTTAGAGGCTGGAGAGGCTATTGCCTGTGGCCCAAGGCTGGCTCCTTCCATGTAGCCCAGCCAACAATGGACCGTGATATCTTCAACCCCATGGCAAAGGTTGCCTTGTCTGGAATCCTCTGCTCCCTCTCCAAAGCACAAATGCACATTGTCCCAAATGATTGTCAGAGCTGTCATCTGACAATCCCTGAGGCCCTCCCTAGGGAAACCCCTGCCCTCATAACAGTACTTTCTGATCACTATAACCTAGAACATTTAAAAAGCCTAGGGCACTGCCGGCTCCAGTAGAATTGGACATCTGGTTTCTTCACAGATTCAGCTTTGCCTGCCATTTTACTAAGTGATCAGAACTAGTGAGTAGGTGTTTTCTGCCATACCAGAAATTAGAACACTTGGGGAGAGGGATAGGGAATTGATTAGAGCTGTGAAATTCTGAGTCTGAAGCTACATGATCATTCAAACCCAGTTATAATCAACAGTGTGTTATGAGCAGTTGCTGACCTCTGTGCACAGCGGTGCCTAAAAGATCCAGAACCTTCAGGGAACTCTCAGAGAGAATGGCTAGCTGTATCCTCATCCAAGCAGGGGACATTCAACACCAAAGCCTTTACTTGTGTCAGAGCAGCTATGTCCCCATCTGGCCTTTATGGCCTGTTTAAGCCTAAAGGGAGTGTTTAAGAACTTAACGTGTTTAGCCTCCATTCTTCACAATGTCTGTTAACTCCTCTGCCCAAACTGTGGGCAGATGGAAGTTGCTTAAGGGGACAAACCTGTTACCTCACTGATCATCAGCTCACGAGACTTCCTCCCTGACCTCCCCTCCTACAGCCATGGACTCGGCCATCACCATTCCATTGTCATCTACGTGAACAGCTCCCCTCACACATAGTCTTGCAGTGTTGGTATTTTTTTGGAAGGCCTGTTCCACATTTTTCAAGTTCATATGCACCTGACCTTCACTCCCA